CGTTTAACTTTCGTGTTACCAGCTGAAAATGTATTCTGTGTCATACGCTGCAATTGCTGCTCATGCTTACAGAAATGGCCGGCGAACTCTGGCTGCACTGCTTCTGGAGCACGAGCCACGGTCTTCCGAACAGGTATGATGAATGGCATAAGAAAAAGTCGGTCATCTGTTGTTTTTCAGGTTCCCCTTTTGACGAGCATGGGAGAAGAGGAAAAAGCTTTGGGGAAAGCCATCAAGAGTGGAGATACAGACCTTGTTTACTTCACGTTATTTCATCTATGGCAAAAGGTACGCCTTCGGCTATTCTCAATTTAACGCGCGGATGAACTTTTTGCGATTGTAGAAATCACCGTCAGAGTTTACACGTGCTGTTCAAGACAAGCCTCTTGCTCGCAACCTTTTTATCGCCTATGCGAGGTAATCTGTCGGTTAACTATGCAAGCCTTTCATTTGTTTTCTCTTTGTTTTAGACAAAATGAACCCGATGTTTTGAAGAAGTTCTTCGCATCAATTGGACAACTTCATGTACGTCTTTGTTGCTTTGTTTATTTATTATGAATCCGATTGCAGAGGGTTGGCGAGCTTCTGTTATGGGAAGCGTGGGCGCAATCCAAAAATCCTGTCACTCGACAAGGATCTCCTCTTCAAGGCCCTCGAATTCGTCTTATAGAAGAAGCTCAACGCCTGTTTTCTCACAGCAAGGAGCACGACTTTGAGGCGAAAGCTTGTGACGAGCAAGCACGGCTACTGAAGTACGCTAGTTTTTATGTGATCGACATCTCATTCTATTCCACAGGATCCAGCACGAACTAGAAGCAAAAACTGGCAAAGCGATTTTCGTGGACACCAGTGTCAGTGATACGATTCGGACATGCATTGTTTTGAAAAATCACCGAGAGGCGCAAAGGATTCGTGTCGAATTCAAGGTAGTCTTTTCTCGCACGTTGGAATAATCTCCATTGTTTCCGTCTCAGGTCCCAGACAAGCGATTCTATTGGCTCAAGATTCTGGCGCTTGCATACATCAAGGACTGGGACGCGCTCGAAAAGTTTTCGAAAGAGAGAAGGCCGCCAGTTGGTAAGAAAAAGCTCAGCTCCACGTCACTTCTCTGATTCTCTCTTCCAGGATTTAAGCCCTTCGTCGAAGCTTGCCTACAAGAAGGCCAGACCTCCGAGGCACTGAAGTACATCCAGAAGCTCTCAGATCCCGAAGAGAAGGCCGAGGTATGAACTTTGTTTTCGTTTCGAGAAGCTAAAACTTTGGGAAACTCCAGGCGTATGCTCAAGCTGGAATGGCCAAAGAAGCAGCGGAAGTGGCGGCGCAAGCCAAAGACAGCGAGATTCTTGGCCGTCTCAAACTTACATTCGGCCAAAGCACCACCGCCGCCGCCCTGTTTGATTCGATTCGCGATAGATTGTCTCTCCAAGGAGGCTAAATGCGAGCAAGGAATATACCCCGTTTTAAAACCATCGTCCCATTAGGGCTCTTGAGAATTAGGGTTTTGGAGGAAGAACCCTAGGCGGCGGCGGCGGGGCAAGATGAAGAACAATCCGGCCGTCAGCAGCTCCAGGCGCAAGTGCCGGAAGGCGCATTTCAGCGCGCCATCAAGCGTGCGCCGGATTTTGATGAGCGCGACGCTGTCATCGGATCTGAGGAACAAACACAATGTAAGATTTCGATCTCTGGGAGCTGTGAGTGCCTGCTTTCTCCTGATTGCTGCGCGCTTGCTCTGTAGGTGCGCTCGGTTCCCATTCGCAAGGACGACGAGGTCCAGATCGTCCGCGGCTCGTTCAAGGGCAGGGAAGGCAAGGTCACCCAAGTTTACCGCAAGAAGTGGGTGATTCACGTCGAGCGCATCACTCGCGAGAAAGTGAACGGTGAGAAGCACGGGGTTCTCCTCGATCTGTGGTTGATCCCTTTGATTTTTCAGGTGCTACTGTGAACGTTGGTGTTCATCCATCCAATGTGGTGATCACCAAGTTGAAGCTGGACAAGGACAGAAAGGCGCTGCTGGACAGGAAGGGCAAGGGACGCGCTGCCGAGAAGGGCAAGGGCAAGTTCACGGCCGAGGACGTTGCTCCGCCACTCCAAGAAGTGGATTGAGTGAGCTTGTCGACGTAGTCTCTCCTCTCACGAAATTGCAAGTCTCCAGGATTTTGGCTTTCTAACTTTTTATAAGTGATGAGCTTTCTCTCGTTTGTCTTGTGGAAGTGCGATTGGAAGTTTAGCTGGTTTGCAAATCTAGAAACACGCCTCAACTAATGCGTATGATTTGGCGAAGTCACGAACAAAATAGCCTATCTCTTGTTTGTGTTGATGATGAGTTCTCTCTCGTTTGTGTTGTGGAAGTGCGATTGGAAGTTTAGCTGGTTTGTAAATCTGGAAACAAACTAATGCGTTTGATTTGTCGAAGTCACGAACAAAATAGCCTATCTCTTGTTTGTGTTGTTGATGAGTTTTCTCTCGTTTGTGTTGTGGAAGTGCGATTGGAAGTTTAGCTGGTTTGTAAATCTGGAAACACGTCTCAACTAATGCGTTTGATTTGTCGAAGTCACGAACAAAGTAGCTTATCTCTTGTTTGTGTTGTTGATGAGTTTTCTCTCGTTTGTGTTGTGGTAGTGCGATTGGAAGTTTCGCTGGTTTGCAAATCTAGAAACACGTCTCGACTAATGTGTATGATTTGTCAAAATAGCCTATTGTCAAGTCGGTGAGATCTTTTAGTTTGAAGGAGACTCGTTTTTCTTGTTTTCTCGTGGTCAAGATCCTTTTGAAAAATCAAAGCACGGCATCGGCGGTACGTCGGTGGTACCGTGCTACGTGATCGTTCGTCCTTTAGGGAGAAATCGACAGCTAAGTGAGTTTCTTGCTCTAGAAAATTTTGATCGCCATACAAAACCGTGCACAAAAATGTACATGTAAATTGTTTTGTGTTTACAAATAATGTAGGGAACACACCACAGAATTTCCTCTCCAACCAGAAGATTTTCTCTCCAAACCAAACTACAAACCAAATTATATAGATTTTTGCTTCTCTGGTTCAGCTGTATGCAATCTACTTATAAAGATTCATGTCTGTAACACACTTCAGTAGTGTATATGATTCTACAGGCTTGGGCAAATCTTCTTCGTTGTGGGTTTGCATGTACTGCAAAACACTCTCAAATAAAGGCACTCGGCAAGGAATAACAAGCTCCCCTTTCTCGCAAAATCCATATACCTCTTTCGACTGATTGAGCATGATTTGAAAGAACGAATGATTCAGATAACTGATTGGGATCACGAATCTCTCCCTACGAGGACCTACATAGACACATATATGCCCCTTTGGAACTCCCTTACCCTCTCGGAGCTCTGAAAACTTTTGGCCAAGCAAATCCTTGAACTTTTTGCTTTTCATTCGAGGCAAAAGCATCACTCCGCCACTGCTTTCCATTGCTCCACCACTGCTTTCCATTGCTCCACTGCTACTTTCCATTGTATCACAAATTGGAGCAATTGAAGAGGAGGAGAAGTGGAGGTTTGAGCAATAGAAATGAAAGAGAAGACTGAGTGAATTACCTAGAAACTGGAGAGAAGCACAGACGTGCCTAAAATTTCCAACAAGAGTCCTTGACCCCACAAAAAAGAATACTATTTAAAATATTTTCTTTATCGCAACCGTAAGATCAATTACTTCATCTGACGGTCCCTGCAATTCAAATCCTCAGAAAAATGCGCAGCAAGAAGCGGCCATGGCGAGAAACTGGTAAGGTGCTATTTCTTCTTGTTCCGGGTGTTGTAGCAGTTTCTTAGCTTTAGAGGGTCAGGAGGATGATTCAAAGCTGCCGCTCTCTCTACTGGATCGCGCAGTGCCGTGGAAGGCACAGTCATGGAAGCAAATGGCGGGTATCGGCGGGCTAGCCGGCGAGTTTCGGGTTGGAACCTCGGGCTACATCTACAAGCACTGGAGGGGTGTCGTGTATCCCCGGAGCTCGGCTCAGAAGGACTGGTTTCGACTCTACACGAATCTGTTCGACACGGTGGAGATCAACAACACGTTTTATCGCCTTCCAGAGCGCAAAGTTTTTCAGGAGTGGCACGATCAAGCTCCAGAGAATTTTTGCTACGCTCTCAAGTATAGTAGGTACTTCCTCGAGCTTTTGGATTCCTTGATCTTCTGCTTTGTTGCGCTGCAGGTTTGGAACACATATGAAGCGCCTTAAAGACCCCGAGAATCACGTAAACTTGTTTCTCGATCGCTCGGTTCCACTCCACGCAACTTGTGGACCAGTGCTAGTGCAGGTATGGATCGCTTTTTTCCGTTTTCTATATGCTTTTGCGTGCTTGAGAGGTGAATGATTTTCTACGCACGCAGTTGCCACCGAAATTCAAGCTGGAACTGGAGCGGCTGAAAGAATTTCTCCACAGGCTTCCAACAAATATTCGCTGGGCGGTCGAAGTACGAGACTCGAGGTGGCTATGTGACGACGTCTACGAGCTTCTCAAGCAGCACAACGTAGCTCTCTGCATCCACGACCACGAAGACATAATTGACAAGCATCCAAAGGCAAGCCTTTCTGGTTTCGCGCTCCTGCTCGGTCGTTTTCCACCGAAAGGATGTAAGAACTTTTCTCTTGTTCTTGTTCTTGTTCTTGTTCCAGGTAATTACCGCCAGCTGGTTGTACCTGAGATTCCATGGAAAGAACTATCAACACTGCTACACGGCCCAAGAGCTGGACCACAGCAGCACTTGGATCCGCGAGCAGCTTGCCAAAGGACTGGACGCGTTTGCTTACTTCAACAACGATGCCGACGGGAATGCCGTGACCAACGCACTGGCTCTACGCAATCTCGTCTGTGGTGGCTACTCCAGTGCATGACTTTCCGCCGGAAACAGTACAGTCGCTTTTGGAAACAGTTTTGGAAGAGCTGAGATTGATCCGCTCGCACTCCTCCACCACCAAGTAAGTCAAGTGGTGCTCTCGTTTTCACGCCATGACCGTGACTTCCACAGGAAATCCCGGCGGGGACGCAGATCCTTCGAAGAAAAAACGAGCTTTCTTCCGGCAGTGGTAAACAAACTACGGCGCTTTTCTCTTTCTTGTGATCGCGGGTTTGCTGAATCGTGAAGCTTAGTGGAAAGGGAAGCGTGGAGTAAAGCGCCAGGAAATTCGTGACCTTTTTATTTTGGTGGGGATGGATGAGCACAGGATCAAGCCAACATTCTTCTACCGCGGGAAAAGTTTACTTTAAACTTTTGAAGTGTTTGTGTTTGCCACGTGCTCTGACCAATGATTTACTCTGTGTGGATCTCCGCCGTTGGCTATCTTGGAACGAATGCTAGGGCTTGACGAACGCGGGGATTTTCGATCGATATAGACACGAGATTTAGGTCTTGTTCTTCCGTCTAGATCATATGGGAGGCGATTTCTCCAAGCCGGATCCTCACTACGATAGCTACGCCGCGTCGCCGTCTCCGCGCGTCCAGCCCACCTCTCCGCCGAAAGCTAAGATACACCGCCGCTTCTCCACGAAGTACTCGCACATCGCCGATAATTTCGCTAGCATTGAGGAGGTATGATCGCCAACGATCTCGTGGCAATTTTGCCTCACTGGAAGTGGAAATTTTTGTTTTGGTCCTTCTCTCCATCCAGGTACAGCAAGAATTGCGAAGAACAGGCCTCGAGTCCTCCAATTTGATCGTTGGCATCGATTTCACCAAGAGCAACGAGTGGACTGGAAGGATCACTCATCAAGGGAAGAGTTTACACGCAATCGGCGATGGTAGCGTGCCAAATCCTTACGAGCAAGCGATTTCTATCATCGGGAAAACCCTCTCCGACTTTGATGACGACAACTTGATTCCTTGCTTTGGCTTTGGAGATGGTACGAATGCTTTGTTTTTCTTTCACGAAAGCTCTCTACTTTGGACCGACTCGGCTCTCTCATTTTCCAGCATCCACGCACGACAATTACGTCTTTAGCTTCTACTCGGATCACCGCCCCTGCCATGGTTTCGAGGAAGCTCTTGCAAGGTACCGTGCCATCGCTCCTCACGTCCGGCTCGCTGGTATGTTTCCACGAAGAAGAAGATCTTTCGAGTGAGTTGACATGGTTTGGCAATTTTCTCGCAGGACCGACTTCGTTTGCTCCCATAATCGAGGCTGCAGTAAGAATAGTGGAACAAAGCGGTGGTCAGTATCATGTTCTCGTGATCATTGCCGATGGCCAAGTAAGTGACTGCTTGTTTTTTTGTTTCCTAGGATCAAATGTGGGGCCGTAACTTATACTAGCTCGTGTTTCTGCTTTTCCACAGGTAACAAGAAGCGTAGATACGGAGGTCGGGCAATTAAGTCCTCAAGAGAAGAGCACGATTGACGCGATTGTGACTGCGAGGTACGCTTTGTTTTCTACTATTTTTCCTACGCCTATGCCTTCCACTCTTTTGCAGCAACTATGCGCTGTCGATCGTTCTTGTTGGAGTTGGCGATGGTCCTTGGGATATGATGAAAGAGTTTGACGACAACATCCCCAGACGAGCATTCGATAACTTCCAGGTACCGAAACATTGACGTCAATTTGTCATGCTAAACTGTGCTCGTTTTGACAGTTCGTTAACTTCTCCCAAATAATGTCGAAGAAGCTGCCTCTCCATAAGAAAGAAGCATTGTTCGCATTATCAGCACTCATGGAAATCCCAGCTCAGTACAAAGCAACGGTAGAACTTGAAATCTTGGGGTAAGATTGCTTCTTTAAAAGGATTTCCGTTCTTATTCGTCTTTTAACTTTAGGCGAAGATCTGGAACTGCGACTAGTTCTCTTCCTTTGCCACCTCCTGTTCAAGTATTGCAAGCGGACTCTCAGTTTCACGTTGAGCCATCGTCGTCTGGTTACTATCCTCCAGCTGAAAACTACTACACTCCACCTGGATTTTCACCTACGGCACCGAGGGGCGTGGACCTTCCAGAAAGCCAGGTACGTTTCACTGTTCCGGACAAACTCTTCAGATGAACGCTCTTGGTTTCCAGGTGTGCCCGATCTGTCTCACGGAGAGAAAGGACTTGGCTTTTGGCTGCGGACACCAGGTATGCAAACACCATTTCTTTGGTCTTTGGAAACTTGTCAAACGTGTTGTTTCCATTATGTCGTCATGGCAGACATGCAGGGAGTGTGGTGCCAGTTTGACGAACTGTCCGATTTGCAGACAGGAGATTTCGACTCGAATTCGGCTGTACTGAAAGACTGGAGCTGGGATTCGCGCGGCCGTTCGTGTACAGGCAAAGGATTTGTTTTTCGAGGGAGGTTCGTGGTTTGCTACAGTTTTGTCGCAAGGAATCGGCGGCCAAGAGCTTTGACACTGGAATGATACCGCTGTAATTCTTTCTCGCGACTCTCAGGGAGGGAATCTTCTCCCCGCAAATCGTTTCTTCCTTTTCTTTTGGTTTCTTTTCCTTCCTTTGTTTTCAAAGGGGTCGTACTTTGTGATGTTGACGCAGACTTTCGTATGATTCGAAACCATTTTTTCTCTTTTTTGCCACCCCTCTCTGTGTAGATTTTTTTTTTCATACTCCCCAGAGCCGGGACGTGCCCGGACCATCCATCAACCTTGGCTCTCTAACATTGTCTTCGAATTTATCAAATAGAAACATGGTTAGATTATCCGTCACCTAACAGTGAGTGTTGAATGTTAGGTGGGTGTGGAGTGAAGCGAATTGGTAGCTCAACCGAGAGTTGCCTATGTCATCACGATTGGTGACCCTTAACTACTAGCTATAATGCGAGCGAGTGCGCAAACTTTTTCTAAGATGGAGATGTTTAGCCTGTTAATCCTGAATGAGGGTCGTGAGTGAGATTTTTTTATATCATGTAGGGTTCTTAGCGTTCCGCGGGGGTCGTGTTGGTCGGTCTATGAGCAAAGCCTCACGTAACCTAGTAGGATTTCAATTATCTTTTTCTTTTTTGTATTTTTGCAACGAGCTTGACTTAAACGAGACTGGGATGTTTGAGCTAGAAACTCGTATTAATATGCGTATTTAGAGTCAATCGTGTCCCAGATGTGTATAGTAGTCTCGTCTACTCTCAAAGATCCCTTGCATTGTGCACAGGGGCATGAGTGGAACGGACACAAGGGCCGAGATCCAGTCGGGCCAAGGAAAAGGAAAAAAAGAAAGAGAGAAAAATGTGAATGCTGGAGTTTAGACTTCCACGGTGATCCTGTGACAAGGTTTTCCACTCGGTGACTTGGCAACCAAGTCAATGAGGCTCATCAAGGGAGGGCGGTGGCAGCATATTACCGACACACAACCACGGAAAAGGATAGATCTAAACCGAATCCCAGGGATTCCTCTTAGAGATGCTGGCGTCTTTTCGCATGCGGTGACGAGAGGTTTTAGATCGCGGCGGGCACTTGCGACTTTGTGGACTGGATCGGCCATAAAAATTTGGGGTGAAACTTGTGGATGGTCATCGTCAAGGACACGTAGAGAGACACAAGCCCCGGGCCAGCAACACAGTGGTCAGGCTGTGCGGCCAAAGGGAAGCGTTGCTTGCATCCCCCACGTACGTAAACAAAGAAAAAAGAGAAAGGGAGGATGAGAGGGAAGGCGAGAGAGAGAGAGAGAGAGAGAGAAAATGGACCCCTCCTTTTGGAAGGAGGGGCCAGGGGGAGATGGGAGATACAACCACAAGGGTCACAACTAGTGAATTGTTTGTTTTCATGGGTGGCCGCACCAATGGTTTTTGGCCGGATGTGATCGTTGGCAATGCCAAAGGTGCCGTGTTGGAGGCAAACTGGCCTAGTAGCAAGGCCCAGCCACAACGTTTATCTCAAGGTTTGCCGATTTTAATCCGTGGACCCTTGCATCAAAAGCCACTATATTATACTACGCAAGACATACATGCATCTATTTTAAGGGCCGGGGATGTCTATGCCCGGGACACATGCCATGTGAGCCGGTAACGTAACTATACGTAACCAGCTGTGTGTGGGAAACCACCGGTATGCCATGCTTGCCAAAACTTAACAGCAAGCAAACAAGGTAGGGTAAGTGGGGAAGGGACGGCTTGAATGCAGGCTGACTGTCCCCACCCACGCAGCTGCAAACCTGAGGTACCCAGTTTCTTCTTTTTTATTTTTAATGCCTTTTTTTACTCATTTTTCTTTTCCTTTTCTGTTGCTATTTACCATACCATGGTGGTAAGGCATGTGTTTGATCATGGTGAGCAGGCAATGTACTTGTGAGAGTGGTGTAGGTGCAGAAATGAACAAACAAGGCACACACACAAGTTCTGCACACACACACAAATCTTAAGAGGGGGTTTGCAGCACACACACTGGAGCAGCAGCAGACACCAGCAGCACACAGCAAGGATGGAGATGAGGTGAATTGAATGTAACACACACCACACCACACCACACCACACCACACACCACACACCACACCACACACAAACCTCTCTCCTTTTTTTTTCTCTCCCCCTGTCTTTCTAAAAGTGGGAGCAGCAACTTATCCCAAGAGCCTACTACACCTCCCCCCTCTCTCATTTTCTTCCCATTCATTTGATCTCCTAGTTTAATAGGAGGTAAAAAACTTTTGTGGGAGCTTGGGGGGTTGGGGGTTTGGTGAATTGGTGGTGTTGGGAGCAGGAGAGAGCAAGCACCAGGTAGCACAGATCTGATCCATTCTGTAGCTTAATTGATCCAAAGGCTCCCCTGCTACAGTGTGCTGTGCAACCAAGAATTCAGGGGAGAGAGCAGCAGCAGCAGCAGCAGCAGCAGCAGCATCAACAAGAACAAGAGTAGGGGAGAGAAAAAAAAAAGAGATCTTTTAGACACCAAGTGAAAAGCAGAGCACCCCAAAACAAGGGAAGTGGGAAAAGGGAGAAAAGAGAAGCTGAGATATGGAAGAAGAGGGAACAAGAAGCAGGAACTGGCTATGGCTGTGGAGGGGAATATTCGCGTCTCCCATCGTGGAGGAGGGAGAATGGAGGGCAAGGGAGGGGTAAGAGGAACCCAGGATTGGACTGGAGTTGGGCTAGGAGAGCTAGTTCTAGTTTGGTCTTCTCTTTTTTTTCCTGGATTCCCCTCTCTCTTCTCTCTCTCTCTCTCTCTCTCTCTCCCTCGCGTGGTGTGTGTGCGCATTGATTCAGGTGTAGGACTTTCTCGCTGATTGATGGTCCATGGAAGATCAAGCGCTACCGTGTTGATCGGGGTGGGAGGATCCCCATGGCAGCATCCAGTGATTCGGAGAGTAAGAAGAGCAGGAAGGAGGAATTGGGGGGCGGTGGGAGCAGCAAGGAGGAGAAATCCGATACCGCGGCGGGCGGGTCAGATCAGGCCCAGCAGCAGCAGCCGCAGCAGCAGCAGCTGGCGGTGGTGCCATCGCCGGCCGGCGGCGGCGGCACGGCCAATGGCGCGGGCGGTACCGCCGGCGGTACGCAGCCGGCGGCAGCATCCTCCGCCGCGGCGGCTGCCAAGGAGCGCGACTACATCTGGACCGAGGACGCTGTGCACGTCCTCCTGGATCACTTCCTGGAGAAGTACATGAGCTACGAGAAGGGGATGATCCGCAACGCCGACTGGGTGGAGATCGCGCAGCGCGTCAACCAGCAGCTGGAGGGGAACAAGCCCGTCAAAACGCCCGAGCAGTGCAAGAACAAGGTGGACAATCTCAAGAAGCAGTACCGCAAGGAGCGGCGGCGCGGATCCCTTGGCCCCTCCAGCACCAATTGGGCATTCTTCTCGCGGATGCACGACATCTTCGAGAGCGATTACAAGAAAACAGGGGGTGGTGGCGGCGGTGGAGGTGGCGGCGGCGGAGGAGGAGGAGACCGAGATCCTGGCGGCGCGAGCGAGGACGTACCACCGCAAAACAATTCCAATCCCGCCCCCGCCGCCGCCGCGGCTGCCAACAACATCGAGGACGCCCACCACCACCACCGCTTGCGATCCGCGGTGGTGCCGGATCACTACCTGGCGTCGCGCGAGTTCATCCGCAAGCAGCAGGAGGAGCTGATGCAGTACAACAAGCGGCCATCGCGGCGGAGCGAGACGCCGCCACCGGGGTCTGGCGGCGCGCCGATCTCCCAGCAGCACCACCCACACCACCACCACCACCACCCCATGATGCTACTGCCCGAGTCCTCACACATGGCCTTCCCGCCGCACGCATCCAATCACCACCACCGCGAGTCCGGCAGCACGCCCGCGCGGAAAAAGGCCAAGTCGGACCGGCACGAGCAGCACGGCGTCCCGCACGGCATGACGCACGGCATACCGCAGCGACACCACGACCAGCGGCACTTGCAGCCGGCGGGGCCGCCGCAGCACCACGCGGAGGGATCGGGGCCGCCGTCGTCGGACTCGGGCGGCGGGGGTGGTGGCGGTGGAGTGGCTGCCGTGGAGGGATCCACCAAGCACGAGCGGAAGCTCCACCGGCACCAGCTCGCGGCGCTGCGGCGCGACTTCATGGAGGGATTCACGGGCTTCGCGGAGGTGATGCTCAAGATCGAGGTGGCCAAGATGGAGATGCAGCGGGATCTGGAGCGGCAGCGGGCGGAGATGGAGCTCCACCGCACGCAGATGATGCTGAGCAACCAGCTCCAGCTCGCAAAGTACCTCAAGGCCAGCCCGATACCGCACGGCATGCCGCCCGACGGCGGCGGGGCGGGCCCCTTCTGGCCAAACTTCGGCTTCACCGACGCGAATGCCAATACCGCCGGCGGTACCGGCGGCACGCCGCGGCTCCAGCTCGCCATCCCGATCTTCCCGGACTTTACCGCGCTGGATGCCGTGGGGCCTTACGAGGTACTGCATTTGCTCCCCAACGTGGAGGTGCTGTTTGTGAGCCACCAGCCTGGGCTGTACGCCGCCGGCATGGGAATGCTCACGTTGCAAGCCACCGCGTCATTCGACCAAGTGACGCGGCCGCAAATCCTCGTCGTGCCTGGCGGTATGGGCACCCGGAGGCTGCTCCAAGACCGAGTTATACTCGACTGGATCCGAAAGGTACGTTTTCTTCTTTAATGGCTTGAGTGGAGACAACAAGTTTTTGTTGTTTGCTACTGATCAACTTGGCTGCTTCTGTCCTCGTTCCACTCGATGCGTACTAAAGTTTCGATTTTTTCGTTGCTTTTGGTGGTGGTTCTTCCAGGTTCACGAGCATACCCTCTACACTGCTTCCGTTTGCACTGGATCGCTGCTGCTCGGTGCTGCCGGATTGCTAAAAGGGATCGAGGCAACCACGCATTGGAACTCGCATGAGCTGCTAGCGGAATTTGGAGCCAAGCCAGTATCCTCGAGGATAGTCCGCCAGGTTGGTTTCAATCACCCGCGCTCCTGTATAACTCTTTGTTCTTCCAGGGGAAGATCATCACTGCTGCTGGAGTGTCCGCTGGGATCGACATGGCTCTTCAGCTGGCCGCCCTTCTAACGGACGAGGCCACCGCCAAGACGCTCCAACTTTTCATCGAGTATGATCCTCAGCCTCCGTTTGACAGCGGCTCGGTGGCCAAGGCCGGGCCCGAGGTGGTGAGCAGGGCCAAAGAACTGTCATCCAAGCGACTCCAAGCCGTGGCTGGTGCCAGTGCTGCTGCTGCCGCTGCCGCCGCCGCCGCTGCTGCTGCTACTTCCAGAGCTCCAGCGTGAAGCAGAGAGAAGAAAAGTCTACTTGTTCTACGATGCTGCTGCTGCTGTTGTATGTACCAAAAGACGATAGAGGAGAGTGAGGGAGGGAGACGAAGAGCTCTAGAATCGAGACGAGGAACGAGCAGCGAACGACTGGAATATCCTTCTGCTTTGGTCGGGGAGAGAGATGATCCAGTTTTCCAAGAACACAGCCGGAGAAAGAGAGGCTCCACAGCTCGAGAGTTTCCATTGATCATTGGTACGCTGCTGGGGCTCTCGCTCTCTTTTCATCTCTTTCTTTGCTCCATCTCTTTTTCTTCCCGCGGGACTAACAGTTCTTCTCTGCTAGCTCTCTCAGCTCTCTAAATTTTTTGTTCGTTTTCTTTTTTTCTTGGGCTCTCGTTCATACCGATTTGTGTACCGCTGCTGCTGCTGATTGATTGACATCACTGTGCGTTTCTTCGTTTTTTTCCTTATATAAATTCTTGGTAGCCTCTGAGACGAATAAAGAAGAAAAGAACTTCCTTCCTCTGTGGCCGAATTTTCCCGCTAAAATTTGAAAGTTTAAATCTCTGTAGGGTTAGGGCACGAGGAGATGGCGACGGGCGATGGCGATGGCGATGGCGGTGGAAGTGACAATGCGAACGAGGTGGTGTAGTTTTTTCTTAGACACCTCGGACTGGGCGACGAGCTGGGAGGTGATGGCTCCTCCGCAAAGCAGTGTGACAGCGGGTGATTTCTTGCCAAGGACAGGGCTTTGATTTCTCTTGCACCAAGACGGCAATGGTCACGAGAAGCTTGTGAGAGATCTCCTCTGGAGGGCAAGAAAGCGTAGCAAGCATGCAGGGAGCTAAGCCGGGGAGCCGCAAGGAGGTGGAAAGGGAGAGGCGGAAAAGCTTGGCGTTGGATAGAAGGAAGACCGCGGCCATTAATCAGGGAAGCACAAGTGGAGCCGTAAAGAATTTCGGTCACAGCAGTACGCTCACGCCACGGACTCTGGTGAAGCGATCCCACCACAAGGAGCACGTCTTGAATGTGAGCGGCCTTCTTTTTCTTCCGCGAAAGCTACCACAGTATACTTTTCTTCCATCGCTCGCAGCTTGTGGTGGTGGTAATGGCGGTTGCTTTTCTAGATCCTTGCCGAGAAGAACTTGAGGATCGGAGCCTTCGGGAAGGTTGAGACGCAGGAGGATCAGCCGGCATGGAAAGCTCGGCCCAACGCACAGCAAAGCCCGCAAGTTCTAAACTTGAAGAAGAGGATGGAGCAGAGGAAGAGGCATATGACGCAGTACACGAAGAACAACACATTTGTGGACATCTTCAAGGTGGTATCTTTTCTAGTTTTTCTTTCGATTTTTTTTTTGCTTTTGTTATGTCGTGTTTAGATTCCATGCCTTCTCTAATCAAAACTCTTACCGTGCAGGACACTGAGGACCGCCGAACACCGCCAGCGACGGCAGGAATTGTTGTTGCCGGTACAATCGAGCTGGTTGCTCGTCAGGTTATTGAGAAGCACGCAGAGATCCAACACAGGTAAGCAAGCGCACACCTAAACTTCCAGAGTTAGATTGATATGCCTCGCTGAGAGTTATCCAACAGCGATGCGTGCTTGAGAGAAAGCGACCAAAACACATTTTTCTTCGTTTTTTTTTTCTTTTTCTTGTATTTTTTATTTCTCTCTTTTTACGCTTGTGTGCGCAGTGGGTGAATGCAACTTGCATTGATGACTATCATCGTACTTGAGTGTGCAGAGAAAAGAAAGGAGTCTGGGCCCAATTAGGAAAGCCTTATGCGTGCTTTGGCTTACCAGCTTCGGCCATACCGAAGGACTGTCCAATGCCAGCCGGGGCTCCACCTGGTGAAATGTATCCTTTCTTTGGACACGCTCAGAAGCCGCAACTGTTAGAAGTCGGACAAGACGTTACAAAGTTTAGAAGAAAGCGTGCTCAACCTGTCACACGGGAAAGCTTAAACATGCAGGGCATGCTGATAAAGCTGGGCCTGCAAGGTAGGACTACTGATACTACTCACCTTTGTCACCCGTTTGCCTGTGATCTGATCCTACAAATTCTTTTCCTGAGTGATTTGCATGTTTTGTACAGACTAATGGACGGCGTTTGTTTTCATCAGCGTGTTCTCATATTTTCTGTAGGCAGTACAAAATTCCCAAGGGCACCTCTTGTCGAGGCAAATGACTTGAAGACGGCTGTGAAGTACGGTGGTGCTTGCTACACACTTGGGAGGTCCGTGCCTTCTTCAAAGCGTTCCAATTTTGACGGTATGTACTTCAGTGCCTGGCCTGTTTCTTTTTTCAGAACTTCTTCTTTGCAGGAAGAAGCAGGCTTTCCTTTGATCTAACTGAGCTGTTTGAAAGGTAAGATAATAGTATACATCTGGATTGATGTGCTGTGGCTCCTAATTCTCAGTTGGCGGAGCATATCTGGTGGATCACAGGTATGGCCCTTTCATAGTTTTTTACATGACTTGTAGCTGACTCCGACAAGGTCTATAGAGTGTTTTGGATATGGATTTTAGTAACGTGCCGCCGCCACGAATGCCTGGTGTGAGCTTGCCGCAGCTGGCGAAGTCACCCGCACCTCAACTTGAGCGTCCAAGCACCAGTGCTGGAGAACAGTCTTCGCATAGTCTGGTATTTTATTGTATGCTAAAGATTCCTGCGTCATAGATGTTTTGTCTTCCCTGCGCAGCTATATGGCTGGAAGAAAGGTTTTGCTGATACGAGGAAAAGGCTGCAAGACAAGCTTACACAGCGGCTAATGAATAGAACAGTTCGGCGAAGGCATTTTAGATCGTGTTCCCCTTCTACAGCAGAGGTATCCTGTTTGTTTTATTGACAATGCCGAAGTAGTTTCTCCTTTTTGAAGATTTCCATCAAGCTTTTGGAACACTTAGAGGAACGGGGTGGTGGTTCTAAAACTCCACTACAGACAGGACACATCTGGTCAGCATCACTCTCAGAGAGATCTGATTCCTGACAAATCAGGTGGCAATGCAGGAAGGGTGTCGAAGATAAACAGAGAGAGATGGACGCGTCGGCTGTAGATCCGGAAGTGGAAGCTATCAGCAAGTTCTACGAGCGTGTGTGCATGTTTGTCAACAACCAGAAGATGGATGATCCACTTATGGACATGCTTGTCAGCCATCTTAAAGAGTAAGTCGGCATCGCTGTTTGATTGGGATTATTTTTCTTGTCCCTGTGTTTTATTCTAGACTGTTGGAAGAAGGCTACAAGCTGCAAAAGAATCTACTCATAGCTCTCTGCGAACGCTTGTCGAAGTTACAAGGTACTTTGTGCTTGGTCGGGTTTAACTTCTGTTCTTTTTCTTTCCAGATCACGTCGAGGCTACCGGGAGAATGACATGCTTGATGCCTATTCTCAACTTCATCTGCAAGGAGCTTCACCTCACGTCCGTGGAATTCAACTCCATTCTTGGCAGATTTGGCCTGGATTGGTACAACACTTTCACCAGGCCATCTCTCTCGGGGACACCAGCTCCATAGAGTTCTTCCGCTCAACGCAAACTCATTGCAGTGAACTTTAAGAGCGTCTGGATGTAAGTCCGACTCTATCATTCCCACCTTTCTCACCTTTCTTTTCTCGTTGGCTTGCAGAAATCAAAGGGAGGTGCCAAACCGTGCTGGCAAAAGTGTCCGCTTTAATTTGGAGAGGTAACATTATTTCCGTGGGATACAGAACGTCGGCTGGACTCACGAGAAACTCAATTCGTGGTCGGCGACTCTGGCCTTTGCATTTCGTATTTAAGCCTAACATTCTTTCCGTTCACTCCACTCATTCTTTCTTTTGTTTCCTTCGTCCTTTTTAAAACCGCTATAGATCATGGCCGCAGCACGATCGACACTGGCAGCGCCACTTCTCATCCTCCTCCTGCTAGCTCTGGATCATCCGGCTCAAGCGAGAACCTCTCAAGGCAGTTGCAACTCAGTCCTGGGGACGCTGGGCCCGTGCTTGACGTCCGTGCTTGGTTCCAAGCCGCCAGCTCCATCGCGAGCGTGCTGTGCGGCTGTTCACGCCGTCGCCCCGCGGCTGGTGTGCCGCTGCTTGCTGGGCGTGGCAAGAAAACTCAAGGGCGTCAACTTTAGCGCGGCTCGATCCATTCCGAGCAAGTGCCATGCCTCAGCCAGCTTCAAGTGTATATGATGTGGTTCTCTTGTTCATGATCGAATAAAAGGATATCCCTACCTTTTTCTACCCTTTTTGTGTATTTAAAATACTGAATGATAGGGTTCATAGAGAAAGCTTGCGAAAAGAATGAGGGTGTTCCCTGGATTCCCTGTTGCCCAACGAGTAATCGCCGCTAGCAACTCGATTGATTTGCCCTACCACCTCCGGCCCCTAAAGCTCGGCTGCCGCGCTCTCCCCCAGCCCGTGGAAAACGAAAAGTTTGCCGTGGACGTGGACGCGAGCTTTGCATGGGACTCGGGCATTGTCGTACAGGAGCGCGGAGCTTGCGTACGGAGGAGAGCCTTCCTGATGGACTTGGACGACGAGGTGTTGTTGTGGAGGCAAGTCCCGCCGTTGGATTTCCCCAGCGTGGAGTCGGCCGCGACATGCAACGGTCGGATCTACGCCCTGGCCAGCGGCGCCGTACACGCGTACGACGGGGTGGCGTGGCGGCGGCTCGAGGAGCTCGGCGCCGGGTGCATGGAGATGTTTAGCGTACGAAACCGGCAGCTGGTCGGGGCCTTTGTGTACGGAGGCCCGAGGTTGGAGCTCCGGGCGCTGGATCCGGTGACCCAAAGGTGGTCGCGGGGCTTTGGATCCGATCATGGTTTGGAGGGCTCTTGCCTAGCCAGAGACAAGTTCAGGAAGCCGATGGTGGCGGCGATTGGAGACGCGATTGTGATGACCCGGTGGGTTTCTGGCGATGGCGGCGCGACGAAGAATAGATTTTATGCGTGGGATGGATCGAAATCGGCGTGGCAAGGGATGGGCGGAGATGGGGACTACATGATCGAGGGCGTTTGCACCCAAATTGCCCCGGCAAATGCAAGTGAAGTATATGTTTCCAGCCTGACGAAGGGCGTGATCGATAATAGGTCTGTTTACAAGGGTATGGTAAGGTGGCAGAGCTGGGAGATATGGTGGGAGCTGGTAAATAGTTGTGCCTTCTAAAGTAAACATATTTCAGTGTAAAAAGATAAAAAGGTAATCTCTCAGCCGTAAGAAAATGCTTGCATTGTAAATAATAAAGGTAGGGTAAAAATCATAAAGGTTTTATAAGGCGTAAACACCAAGGCATTGGAGTTGCTTTTTAGGGCTTGTGAGCAGTGCGACAGGAGAGCGATGAGCGCCATGGAGGAGGACAAGGCGACGACGACCGCGAGCGAGGCTTCGTCCTCCAAGGCCGGCGCTGGCATCGATTACGCGGCGCTGGAGAGGGATATCAGCTCGCAGCGGGCAGTCGCGCTCCAGGTAATGCGATCTAGGGCTTGCCGGAGCACGGCTCACCGCGGATTCTCTCCTGGCTCGTGGCTTGTCGTGGCAGGATGGGAAGCTCAATGCCGCCATTGAGTCGCTGCTCAATCTGGAGAAGGGAATGAGACTCGCCGCGGATGTTCCTGGCACGCGCAAGGTCGTTGTGGCGATTGTGGAGCTCTGCTTCGAGACGAATTCTTGGAAGACGCTCAATGACCAGATTATGCTACTGTCCAAGCGCCGGGGCCAGCTCAAACAAGTGAGTTCCTTCTTGCGAGAGAATTTTCCAAGTGACTACCAATTTTTTCTTTCCCAGGCTGTGACGTCGATGGTCCAACAAGCAATGCAGTACCTCGACAAGGCTCCTGACCAGGAAACGGAGGTGGAGCTCATCAAGACTCTGAACCTGGTGTGCGCTGGAAAGGTTTGTAGTGAACAAGATTGCAAGCTATGAGTTGCTACTTAGATCACTTTGTCCAGATCTATGTGGAGATAGAGAGAGCCAGATTGATTCGAAGACTGGCGACAATTAAAGAAGGCCAAGGACTGATTGCTGAGGCGGCAGAGCTGATGCAGGAAGTAGCGGTAAGCACATTCCAGCAAAGATCATGTCTGGTCTGGTTAACCTGTTTGAAATTTAGGTGGAGACTTTTGGGGCAATGGCCAAAACGGAGAAGATAGCTTTCATACTGGAACAGGTAACAGCTCTCTTTCCATTTCTCTTTTCAGAAAAGAAAGAACTGACTATGCTGTATTTCAGATCAGGCTCTGTCTAGCCAAGCACGACTACATGCGGGCCCAAATACTTTCCAGAAAGATCAACCCTCGAGTGTTTGTTGCTGACTCGAAAGAAAAGAAGAAGAAAGAAGGAGACAACATCGTGGAGGAAGCCCCTGCTGACGTTCCCTCACTCCTGCAGTTGAAAAGAATGTACTACGAGCTAATGATTACGTGAGTACCACTATGTTTGTAACTCCTTTGGAATCTAATTTTTCTTGCTTGTAGGTTTTACTCACACAGCAACGACTACTTGGAAATTTGCCGATGCTATCAAAACATCTACGATACTCCCTCTGTGAAAGAGAATCCGTCAGATTGGATGCCCGTAAGTGTAGTAATGGACTTTGGATTTTCTGCGCTAACGTTTTTTATGAACAGGCTTTGAGAAAGATATGTTGGTACCTGGTGTTGTCACCACATGATTCCATGCAATCTAGCTTGTTACACGCCACTCTCGAGGACAAGAAGCTAACTGATCTTCCTCAATTTCGGTACGCCTCCCATCCGGCACTTAAAAGTTTTCATACTGTAGTTCCTCAGGTCTCTGCTGGAGAGTTTCGTGACCATGGAAGTTGTGAGCTGGGACCAGTTTTGGACCACTTACAAAAGTGAATTCGAGCTCGAGGCGACACTTCCGGGGGGCAAACTGGTGGACAAAGCATTGGAGGATCTCCGGCGTCGAGTAATCGAGCACGTAAGCGTCTAGCTTCCTCTCAGCTTTGTTTCTAACAAAAGTTTTGTGCAGAACATACTAGTTGTGTCGAAATACTACGCGAGAATCACCCTGACGCGGCTATCTCAGCTCCTGTGCTTGCCACTTGAGGTGAGCTTTGTGCTGCTAGGCTCAATCTCTGTCTCATCAATCTCGCTTTGTTTCGCTTCTTTAGGAGACGGAGACGTGCTTGTCGGAGATGGTAGTGTCGAAAGCTCTGGTTGCCAAAGTGGATCGGCCCGCGGGGATCATCTCTTTCCAGATGAACAGAGAAGGGAACGACGTGCTCAACTCGTGGGCCATCAACATCGAGAAGCTGCTGGATTCGGTGGAGAAGAGCTGCCACAAGATTCACAAGGAGACGATGGTACACAAAGTGAGCTTGAAGGCTTAAAGAGAGACGTTTGTGTTCTCGAAATTTTTCATAACTAAACGAATGTTCTTGCTAATAAAAGGAGCCCTAGAGTATGAGCAAAAAGAATTAGAGATTGTCCTTGCTAAAGCTCGAGTGTGAAGACCATCCTAGTTCTTTTAGGGATGCTGGCGGTAAGATTGAGGTGGCTCGTGATCTTGGCGCTATGGCTCGACCAGGTAAACGCAATGCATTTCTTAGCTCCGACCGTGGCTGTGGTTCCCTGAAAATGATAGGCCGCTTCCATGGAGAGCATTGCGACCCCAAATTTTACACTCTACTACCCGAGGTTCTCTCAACTCGAGTGAAAGATGAATGTGGTTTTTGTGGTTATCGTCTTGCTTGCAGTGCTGCGCTCTTGAGAGAACTGGATGCTTTGGTGGCTCGCCATCCTTCGACAATGAGTGTAGGTACTTCTCTCTCGCTTGTCGAAGCTCTACTTTTGCTACTACTGTGAGAACTTATTTAATCTTATGTCGGCATTTGATTCTAAGTTGGAGGGGATCCAAGCGGATGCCTCCGACGGCTACAAAGCAGAGATTCGAGTTGTCACAGTGGCTGACAGCGTTCAAGCATCGTCTTTCGACGATCGTGTGCGCATCTTTCTAGTAAGTAGCAATGAAATATCTTGCTGATTGTCAATAACTATCGAAGATCTAGAATTTTGGTCAGCATGGAAGGGAGCTGATCACGTCGGAGGTTGCTCTGCGGCTGCTGCGAATTTTGAGCAGGGAGGACAAATCTGCAAGTAAGAAACATATAGATCGCATTCTTTCCAGAGCTGTGTTCAAGGTGAATTCACGTTTTTTTCTTTGTTTCATTTTCTTGCCGGTAACTCGAGGTCGAGGTTTCACATCTTGTTTTACTCGTCCAGATTGTCCCGATGGAAAATGTTAATGGACGGCAAACTGTGGAGAACGGAAGCCTCTGCGAAAGAAGAAACGGTACGCGTTTAATAGCTTGTAGCCCAGGAGCAAAAGACTTATTACTTGTTTCTAGGCAGGGGTGTTGATACAAATCGAAACTGGAAAGTGAACTGGGGAGTGAAAGAAAAGGTGACTAACTCTCTGTTTCTCAAGCTTGCTTGTGCCGGACGAAGGCATTTTTCTTCGCAGGATTACGACCCAACCGAGGAGTTCCCGGGAACAGCTCCATTTAGCGAGCCAGAAACACGGATACTTCGAGACATTGCTCTGCGTTTTAAGCCTCATCTCTGGGTGAACGTTCACTCGGGGATGCAGGTAAGGATCCTCCAAGGAAAAACATTGCGGACTCTCAAAAAAGTTTTTCCTTTTCCTTTCTTCCAGGCTTTGTTCATGCCTTACGATCATAAGAACGCGACGCCGGGCTATCAGGCAGCTGCAAGAATGAGCTTCTTGTTACAAACTCTAAACGCTCTACATTGCAACGGGAACTGCACAGTGGGCTCTGGAGGTGGTGCCGTCGGGTGAGGCTCGACCTTTTCTTTCTTTTCAAAGATTTGTTCTTGATCTCTGGATGAATTTGCTCGCTCAGATACTTTGCACACGGAACTGCGACTGACTACATGTACGATGTATTGAAAGTGCCAAGCGCATTCACGTTTGAGGTAGACAATTCTCAACTCAAGTTGATCCATTTTCACGCTCTTCTTTTTGTCAGATTTACGGGGACGTGCATGCCAACCGCGACGATTGTTTTAGAATGTTCAATCCCACAACACCAGGCGCGTTTGAGGTAGCATACTACTCTCGTTTCTCTTTTCATATAACAAAGGCAAAACTTACAGAGCGTCGTCACGAGATGGTCTCTAGCATTCGTGACACTCGCGTTTAATCTCAGCAGCATGCCAAGCAAGGCCCTTGGAAGAAGCCGCAAGGTTGGAAGAACTCTGTGGGATTCCACCAGAGATGACGCGCAGAATCCGATTGTGTCAAGGGAGCTCCGCTTCTATTTACTTGCAACTGGCCTCATCCTGTGCTGCGTTTGTTACAAGCTAGTTAGTCGTCTGTGCCATTGCAGTCCGCTTAAATCACTAACCTGATACCAATTCTTCGCAATACTCGTGTTGTCTACGCAAAGCTCGAGGAGTCAAAGATGGACGATAGTCTTTAGTTCTATCACTTGTTTGAATACCTGCCGCAAGACAACACAAAGCAAACAGTGTGTGAGCCACAAGCTTGGAGCATGGCGAGAAAACAAATCTCACACCTGGGCTGCGAGTACACAGTGGTGAGTTTGGTGGGAAAAGCCTCAGTCCTCGGCCGTGCCGTTCGCCTGGAGCACCTAATCAAAACTAATACTTTACCACACAAGAAAAAGTAAAGGAAGAACAACATCGAAAAGTCTCACCTTTTCCAAGTGTTGGCCTCATAAAATGAATTTCACCCTCCACACCCACCGCGAGCAATTGCACGTCGATCGATTCTTTAAACCTCGTCGCGAAATCCCACTCCAGCGCGAGGTAGCCGATGGGATTCCAGGCAGCTACCTGAGCAGTCACAGCCATTTAGAACCAAAACAATCAGGCCCTGGCTGTCTATAAGATTGGTCCATACCTCTCGCTGACGCTAGAGACATCTCTCCACATCGCGCCCCGGGAAAATGGAGAATCTCCCACTCACGACCATCTTCAGCAGCTTCTTCACTGGGATCCGCTACCATCTCCAGCCATTCCCACTCGTCTCCAAATGCAAGAACCAGGCCAGGACGCACCACTCGATCGTCTCCAATTTCCTGGGCACGCTTGTTCTGGAGAAGAGCCCGTTCCCGTTCTTCATGCTCGTAGCTTTCGAGGCCGGAGGCTTCATACGAGCCCTCCTCCTGCTCCTGCTCTTTCCGCTCGTCTTCTTCCTCAGTCACTTCTTGTCGGCTGGATCGTCCGTGAAGCTCATGATCTTCGTCACCTTCGCTGGCCTTAAGCTTTCCGACATCGAGCTCATTTCCCTGGGAGTGCTCTCCAAGTTCTACGGCGACAGGATCCGCGCCAGCAGCTACACAGTCTTCACGTCGTTTGGATTCCGCTGCATTGTCACGGAGTTGCCCCGGATCATGGTGGAGCCGTTTGCAAAACGCTACCTTGGAGCGGACATGATAGTAGGAACCGGAATCACGAGCTTCAGAGGCAGAGCTACGGGGCTTTGCGACTCGCATGGCGTCCTGGTCGGCGAAAAGAAGCTGGATGGCTTGACGAGAGCGCTCAAGGATATGGCTACTCCCAATGTAGGACTCGGCGATTCTCCTGCTGACTATCCCTTCATGGGCTTTTGCGAGGTGAGTAGTTTTTCTTCCTCCCAAAGATCTGGAAAAGTCTCCTTCCTTGCTGTGCTGTTTGCTGCCAGGAATCGTATCTAGTGCCGCTGGAAAACTCCACTGCTCTCCCACAGGACAAGCTCGCGTCACCAGTCATCTTCCACGACGGCCGGCTCGTCAAGCTTCCAACTCCGATCAACATGCTCCTCACATTCCTGTGGTTACCGATCGGATTCCCGCTGGCGCTCATCCGGATGGCCGCCGGATCACTGCTCCCAATGCACGCCGTCTACCACGCATTCCTCCTGCTGGGCGTCCGCATCATCATCAGAGGCAAAATCCCATCCTCCAGAAAGTCCGCGATCGATCAGCAGCCCGGTGATCACGGCGTGATGTTTGTCTGCACTCACCGATCACTGCTCGACCCGATCTTCCTGTCCGCCGCGCTGGGCCGCCCAGTCACCGCCGTCACATACTCCATCTCCCGCCTCTCGGAGCTCCTGAGCCCTATCCCGACCGCGCGGCTGACCCGGGATCGAACCCGCGACGCGGCCAACATCCGCGAGCTGCTTCGAACCGGCGACCTGGCCGTGTGCCCAGAGGGCACCACGTGTCGCACGCCCTACCTCCTACGATTCAGCGCCCTGTTTGCCGAGCTGACGGACAGGATCGTCCCGGTGGCCATGGAGGCGGGAGTTTCGAATTTTCATGGCTCCGCCGCCAGGACCTGGAAGGGCGCCGATCCATTCTACTTCTTCATGAATCCCTCGCCCAGCTACACGGTGACGTTCCTGGATCAGATCCCCACCGAGAAGACGTGCGCTGGGGGTGGATTCCCCGCGCACGACGTCGCGAATTACATCCAGGGATTGCTCGCGGCGGCGCTGCGATTCCAATGCACGAGCCTGACGAGGAGAGACAAGTATCGAGCACTCACCGGCACGGATGGGATCGTCACAGCGGCGCCAAGCGCCATAGCCTAGGGCTGAGACCCACACAGGTCGGGGGTTCGAATCTATCTCACGCGCGCTTTCTTTTTGCGCCATGATGTAACGAAGTGGCACTTTGTGCTGTCTGGACGGATTCGAACCTGGGACCCCCGCGTGTCAGTGATAGTGATTTGACGTGGAGGGAAAGCTTTGTTTGCCAGTGAGAATAGCTATAGTGGACGATGAAGACGATGAGACACACACACACCGGACTGGAATGGCCATCACATCCAAGAACCCTAAAACTGGCTGACTGACTGGACTGACCATGGAAGGAGAAATTTGAGAGAGAAGGAAGGCACGCCCAGCGCAGCGGCATTGTCTCGATCACCACCGATGTGGGTTTGTTCTGCTTTAGGTGGAAATCTTGCGAGAAATCGCTGGATTGAGAAAACTAAAATCTCACGAGTAATCAATCACAAGAAGAAAGCTTTTTGTCTAGATTCATTCGTTTCTTCGCCGATCGATCGATCTCACATCGCTAACACACTCGAAAAGAAAGAAAAGCAACACAAAGAAAGAAAACACTGGAGGCTTGTGGCGCTTGCGGCACAAAAAAACTCGAGATGCCGTCATCAATCGATCAATCCGGGGGGAGCTGGACGCATCGCGGCTTGAGAGAAATCGAAGAGACGGCGCCGCTCAGCCTCTTGCAGAATTTCCTGGCGGAATGGCGGTGATGGTGGCACTGATCGCCGTATTTGCACGAGACGAGCGACCACGCCGCGGCCTTGATCCTCTTGATGCTTCCCCGCAGTCGATCACACACGCTGAGCTTCCGGCGGAACTGGTAGCTGTGGAGATACAACTGGCGATCGTAGAAGTAGGAGCTGCCATAGCTGCTGCGTCGCGAGCATCGGCCGAGAACATCCGCGAGCTCTCCCTCCCGATCATCATCATCAAGATCGCCGCCGCCGCCTTCCTCTTCTTCCTCCTCTTCGTCTTCGCCTCCTCCCGGATTATCATCCTGGCCCGCCGAATCGCCGCCATGGCCGCCGCCGTCGCCCGCAAATGGATTCCCCACCGCCGCCTCCCAAGATTTCGAGCTCCGCCGGCTCCTGGAGCGCCGCGGCCGCAGCGATTGATCATAGCCGGGACACATTGCCGCCGTCGCGCCCGCGCTTCCGGTGCCCAGACAGAAACCAAGAAAAAAGAAGAAAATCCCAGCGCCCTGGCGCGCCCTGATCAGTCCAGGAAACGGACCGACGAAAGATTTCCGCGCGATCGATCGGCGGAGTCGGCGGTGGCAGCGGCGAGAAAAAACGCTGGTGGCGCTAGGGCGCTGCTCGTCCGAGAGGAGATCATGCGCGGCGGTCAGCCATAGTTTCGGCTGAAAACATGTCTTGTGGTTTGGGCTTTTAAGGCCAGCCAGAACGGGTGACTTAAGTAAATGTCATTAACCGGCACTAACATGATAAAGGCGGGAGTTAGGGCAAAAGCGCATATACTTTTCTCATAGGAGAATATACTTTGGGACCAGATCGCATATACCTTCCTCATAGGCGAATATACTCGGGGCCAGTGCCACCTTGTGACGAATCCGGCAGGCTCGTGTAGACGCAAATCTCGTTGTTAAGCTCCCAGCCCCAGTCCGCGGTGCGCGATACCCCCATCCTTGGCCAGTGATTGATCCTCACAAAATTACTCCTGGCGATGGAGTCGTGATCTTGGTCGTGATCGCCCTCGTCTTGGATGATGCTAAAGGTGCTCTCGTGCCCGCCCCAGACTGCGTCACCCGGCCCCGCGGTCTGGGAGCCATCGCTGTGGAAGAAGCGCTGCATTGGAGCCTCGCCCCGCCGGGAGGGATCCAGCTCCAGCCAGTACTGCGGCACAGTCTATAGACGAATTCACGGAGTGAGAGGAGAGATCGTTCCAACTTCGTGAATTTCTCGCTTACGTCTTTGAAGCGATACTCCCAGCCGTGTTGGCAAAGATCTTCCAGAGTTATGGAGCACTGCATTGGCGAAGTTTTGAGATAGAACAACGAAAACTTCTGACGAACTTGTCTTACCCGTTTCGAGTCCTTCATGGAGATCCCATAAGCGGCCACTTTGGATAAGCCGGGTAGCAGTGCCGCAGCAGGGATGTGTCTCTTCCCCTGCCATAAGCTTGCACACTACAAACATCGGAAGTCAGTCCCAAGAAACCATTTTGACAACCCGGAAAGGAAACGAAGAACAAGACCAAAAGGCCAGACAGCCACAGTTACTTACTATTTCGCGTCGATCACGAGCAGAATAAGAGCTTGCAATCTACAAAGCCAGGCCACAGCAAAGAAAAAAAAAGAAAGAACACCACCACAGCAAGCTTGAGAAGAGAGGAAACAAAGACTCGGAGTTTTGCTTACCTTTGACACCCAAAGAGCGTCCGAGTGTGCCAGAGTTTTCCAGTCTTTGGATGTTACTCCACATCGTGCCAAGCTGAGTGCATCAAGTCGGACCATCACCAACTGCAGGATATCGGGGCCCAAGAGCTTGAAAGGATCCTCCACAGTAGCTCTTCTCGTCGATCCGGCCTGGAAGATAATCCTTGGAGGCAAAGCTTCCGGAAGCTGGAACTTAGAGGACGAGCTTGGCCCGGCGATTGCCATGGAGTGAGCACTCGACCGGCGATAGACCGACTTGATATCGTCCCAAAAGGGGTGCTGTGCCGTGTGGTACCTCAGGCAATCCGAGAAATCCCGGGAGTGGAGCTTGCAAATCGTCTGGCGACCAATGCGAGGATGATACAAGACGCTCGTGGGGCTCGCGTATCCGCCATCGTCCTTGCTTTCCACACTCTCCATCGATCTGGAAGAATTGGATCTAAATCTCTCCCCCCACCGCGTTCTAGGGTACAAGAATTACCTTGTTCTCAAGCCAGCCGATGGCGGCGTCAAGGAAGAAGATCGCAGCCCAGAGCTAGTGGATTGTAAGGACACACGCTCCCTGCGCTTGGCTTATAAGCGGCGCCGATTGGCCGCTCCGTGGACGAATCGGAGCCGTGGGATCGCCCAAGAACAATCTTCTTGAATCTTGACACTTGGCCAGAGTGGAACATGGTATCGCCTGCGCTGCCGAGCGCTCATAGGCCGCGCCCATAAAAAAGTTTTGGACACCACCACTGTCACGACAATGCTCGATCCAGCCAACGAAAATTGTCATCGATCGCGAATCTCTAGATGGCTCCAGTGATCCGCCAGGGGCCACCGATCAATAAATCGTTTTCTTATCCCATAAATCTCGGGGGTTTTATAGGTCTAGAAGACTCTAGCGCGATCGCTCTTTAGTTGCGATACATTCTATAGCATTGTCTAGGGTTGGAATGGCTTGGCCGTGGCGCGCTTCCGCTCACGCTCTCCATCGCATTCTTGCTCCTCTAGAGCGATCGATCTTGCCGGCAGGAGCTGGCCTTCCCTCACGGTACTGTGATCTAAACCCTATCAATGAGGATTGAATCTCGCGTAGCGGTCAGGTTCCAGGATGCCACGGCCAGCGGCAGGCTGGATCGATTGTCCCACCGGCACTTCCATTCCGATGAAGCATCGACGGCCAGGGTCTCTCTCAAATCCAGGAAGCTGGAGGAAGTTGTCATCGCGATCGGGGGGAATATCGGCGACCGGGTCAGGAATTTCGACACGGCGCTGAGGATGATGCGAAGCTCTGGAATCCAGATCAAGAAGCACGCCTGCCTGTACGAGACAGCGCCAATGCATTTGCTGGATCAGCCTCTCTTCCTCAACTCGGCCGTGACTGCCACAACGAGCCTGGATCCTCACGAGCTGCTGGTGGCCTTGAAGGAGATTGAGAGAAAGCTGGGGCGCAGCCAAGGTAGTGTCAAGTATGGGCCGAGGCCGATCGATCTCGACATCATTTTCTACGGGAATTTGGAGCTCAGCTCGGAGAACTTGCGAGTTCCTCATCCTATGTTCTCTGGGAGGCCTTTCGTGCTGGCTCCGCTCCTCGATCTTCTTGGTCCGGAAGTGGAGGATAGCAGGCATTGGTCTTTGGTCCATCAAGTTCGGAGACACTGGAACGATATAGGTGGCGAAGGATGCGTCAAGAGAGAAGGGATGAAGAAGGTGCTTCCTGTGGGTGGAAAGCTTCTTGACTGGCAGGAGAGGACTTACGTGATGGGGGTTCTTAACGTCACTCCGGACAGCTTTAGCGATGGTGGCAAGTTCTTCACAGCTGACAAAGCAGTGAAGCAAGTCCAGGAAATGATCGAACAAGGAGCCGACTTCATAGATGTTGGAGCGCAATCGACAAGGCCAAATGCCGAGCGTCTTACCACTGAGGAGGAGCTTCGACGGATCGTGCCAGTGCTAGAGGGTCTGAAGAGCACACCGGACAGATCCAGGGTCGTGCTCTCGGTGGATACCTTCGACTCCAACGTTGCAAGAGCAGCTGTAGAGCTGGGTGCTGATCTGATAAACGATGTCTCGGGTGGCAGCTTGGATCCGAAGATGCTGGGGACAGTAGCCGAGCTGGGGGTTCCTTGTGTGCTAATGCATATGAGGGGCGATCCATGCACGATGCTGAGTGAAGCCAACACAAGTTACAGCGATCTACCACGAGACGTGGCCAGGGAACTCGCTGCGAGCATCGAACAAGCCGAGGTTGCTGGAGTTCCGGCATGGAAGATTATAGCTGACCCGGGGTTTGGATTCTCGAAGACCGCCGATCAGAACGTGGAGCTGCTGGCGAGGCTTGATACGTTCAGATCCGGGCTGACGCAGGCGAGATTTGGGGTTGGAAGTATCCCGGTTCTGGCAGGGATCTCGAGGAAAGCTTTTCTTGGTCAGATCGTTGGCTGCTCCAGGGCCGAAGACCGGGACAATGCCACGATCGCTGCTGCTACAACAGCGATTTTAAAGGGTGCGAATGTTATAAGAGCCCACAACGTGAAAGCTGTTCGAGATGGCGCTATGGTGGCTGACTCGATCCGCAAAGTCCTGGCAAGTTAATCAAGTAAGCTCTTTTATATTTTTCTTTTGTACTAGTTTTGTTCTTGATGTTGACGTGTTTGAAGGGGCTGATTGGAGAAAAGATTCGAGTGCAAGGATGATGCAAATGATTCTTTCTAGGTGAACCAGTTATCTCTGAAATCTCAAATTTTTGCTAAGTATTGTGTGTTCCAGCTGTTTGCAATATTTCAAGGCGGTGGCTTATGCAGTGAGAAATTATATTTATTTTAAATTAAAATTTTTTGATTTTCGAGCGAATGTTTTGGCAGGAGCAGCACCTGTAACATGGGAGAACAAAGTTAACATATAAAGTTAATAGTACAGTGTAATCGTATAATTATATATGTAAGTGATCTGAACCGTCCATAAAAATTTATGCGATGTTAAGAGAGTATCTAATGTGTGGGGATTCCCTGGTGCAGATTCTGGACGGTGTAGGCGAGGAGGAGAAGAGGGGAAAAGGGGAAGGAGAGCAATCTTTGCTTTGCTGAATTAAGAGGCACGGGTATGAAGTTCCTGCTCTAATGGAGTATTCCGGGTTAGTTCTAGATGAGGAGGACCCTCTTTACTCATGGCTAGAAGGTGGGGTGGATTTTGGAGCAGCCCACTCAGCTCTCTTTCAGAGCTATGGATTTGATCAGCCACAGGGTTTAAGGCCAGTTGCTCAGCAGCAGCAACAGCAGTATCAGCAGCAGCATCAGCAGCAGCAGCAGCAGCAGCAGCAGCAGCAGCAATTGTCTCTCGAGAAGCAAGACCAGATCCCGAGTTTGCTGTATGGGCTTCCGAATTTTGTCTCACAGCCGGATCAAGTTCACAGCAGTGTCAGTGACCTCCAGAAGAATTTAATCTGGGCTTTACAACACATGAACTTGTCCACGAGTGGACAAGTTCTGATCCAGGTCTGGATGCCTTACAGGGAATCCAACACGGTGTTTCTAACCACCAAGGATCAGCCGTACGTGATGAGCAAGAGCTTTGACAAGTTCGTAAGGTACAGGAGCGCATCGGTGAAGTTCATTTTCCCCGTGAGGGATGGATTACAGGCATACCCAGGGCTTCCAGGGCGTGTTTTCATGAGCCAGGCGGCCGAGTGGACGCCCAATGTCCGGTTCTACAGCTGCCGTGAGTTCTTACGAGTCAAGGAGGCCGTTAACTGCGATGTCAAAGGTACTCTTGCATTGCCTGTGATGGAGGTCGGCTCTCGAGCCTGTGTGGCGGTTCTTGAAGTTGTTACGAGCATAGAGAAAGTTCAGTATGGGCCAGAAATCGACGACATCTCCAATGCTCTCCGGGTAAGCACCTCTCTCCTTTTTATTTTTTTCTCCAAAATCTTTTTTTTTTTTTCTGAGCTCAGCTTTGTTTTCTTGTATATGTAGGCTGTCAGCTTGGCCACCGTCTCAAGTGCTGCTCCTATATCGGAGGTTTGTTTTTTCTTTACTGTGTTCCGTCACGTTTCTTAGTCACAGTCGATTGTAGATACGTGAGAATCGGCAATCCGCGTGGCTTGAAATCAACGAGGTGCTGATGACGGTGTGCAGGACTCATACCTTGCCACTAGCACAGGTGTGGATTCCAGTTTCGAGCAACGGTGTGGTGAAGTTGGTGACAAAAGGCGCTCCTTTCTACGGAGATAGCGGTTTCCGAAAGCCGTGCGCGGAGCATGTACTGCTCAAGGGACAGGGGCTTCCCGGCAAAGCGCTTCTTTCGATCCAGCCTGTTTTCAAAGAGGACGTCAGGAAATATAGCAAGGACGAGTATCCGCTGGGACACTATGCGCGGCTGTTCAATCTTGTGGCAGCCGTAGCAGTGAGATTCCGTAGCAATCTCACCGGTGGAGATGACTACATCTTTGAGTTCTTCTTGCCGTTGAGCTGCAACTCAGGCACCCAGCAGCAGGACTTGCTGGACTCGATGTCGAAAAGTCTCCAACGAGTTTCGAAAAGCTTGCGGACCGTCACACGTCAAGAGCTAGCATTAGAAGCACCTGGTGCGTTTTCCGGATCGCAGCAGCAGCAGCAGCAAGTTTTGAAGGCCGAGCTTCCAAAGCGGACGTACGAATCTTCTGAAGTGGAGTCCGAGATTGTAGAGGAGAGCAGTGTAACCTCGAGCAGCGTCACTGTTCGGAAAAAGGCCAAGCGTGGTGCGGCTGAGAAGATGGTGTCATTAAATGTTCTCCAGCAGTATTTCTCGGGGAGGTTGAAAGACGCAGCCAAGAGCATTGGAGGTACGCGCTTCGTTCGTCTTGGCTGTTTTTTCTTTTCTGAACTGCATTTGTTTGTTCGACAGTTTGTCCTACGACGCTGAAAAAGATCTGCAGACAACACGGGATTGATCGCTGGCCGTCACGCAAGCTCAAGAAGATTGATCGGCAAGTTAAGAAGATCCAAAACATGCTGAGCTCGGTACAAGGCTTGTCACCCGGCTCTACAGTGGTCAGCGTTGGAGGAGTGTCGTTCGGCGACGTGACTTCGTCAAGAAGTGGTGGTATAGCAGCAGCAGCATTAGCAACGACAGCAGATTATCAAAAGCAGGCACACACCAAAAGCACAATCGAGCACGAAGTATCGTCATCGTCTCAGCTGCACAGGGACAAGTCGAGTTCTTCGCTGTCGAGCAACGATCACAGCCCGGCGGAGCTGGAGAGGACTCCAACTCGGGACGACTCCTCGCTCTTCACCGTCAAGGTGAGGCACGGAAGCGACACCGTGAGATTCAAGCTCCCGGTCGACCAGGCCGGAATCGGCGAGTTCCGCGAAGAGATCGCGACGAGGATGAATCTCCAAGGCCGGGAGTTTGGCCTCAAGTACATGGACGAGGACGGAGAGTGGATCCGGCTGGAAAACGAAGAAGAGTTTAGCGAGTGTATGGGTGTGGTCCGGCACTCGGGTGGAAAGATGAAAGTCCTCCTAGTGTTATAGCAGTAGATCTCTGATTACGTTATCGCCACCCAGAGAAAGGAAAATCTATCATATAGTTTCCAGCTTTGTGGGAATTTTCTGACTGGAGAATATTTGCTATGATCGATATTGACTTTTCCATGGTATGTACTTTTATGCTGAAAGTGATTAGAAGTTCGAGACTGTCCACGCGTTGTCCAAGAGCGCGTACGGTAATGGGTCCGCCGCACGCCACCCATGCCGTACGTAGCTCCAAAGTTACAGCAAAATGTGAGTTGTTAGCGCGATTAATATGATGAAAAGCACGTAGTTGCCAATGTTGTTTGCTTGCCAACTACCGTCGTGTGATACATCTCTGTCGTGACAGCCGTTGATGCGCTCGGGTGGTTAGATCGGGCGGTCCGCCTTGGGCGCGCTGCCGGCCGTTGGATTGGCGTCCCGGGCGGGCGGGTAAAATGGGCCAAGCTCCTTCTCGGCAGCTTCACTTTGTGGAGCCCTAATCAAAGCTTCCTTCGTCTCTCCAATATGGCGTGCTTGAAGCTTCTCCACCGCTAGGGTTCTTGCGTCGCGGCAAAGAATCACCGATCCGGCTGCTACGCGGAAGCGAGGAGATTTTGACGCGGGATCGAGCGGAGTTGCACTCCAGTAGGTTCTTTCGATCTCTTGGATGATCTTTGTGAGGCGCTGCTCGTCTGATTGATCTCTCCAAGAACCATGGGAGAGAAAGCGTACCCGGCGTGGGCCAGGAGCGTAGAAGAATGTGCCAGGGATGTCGGGGTTGACCCCAGCAAGGGGCTGTCAGGGGAGGAGGTGATTGCCAGGCGCGAGAGGTATGGCTGGAACGAGCTCAAGCGCGAGCGCGGCAAGCCCCTGTGGAAGCTGGTGCTGGAGCAATTCGACGACACGCTGGTGAGGATTCTCCTCGGCGCGGCGGTGGTCTCCTTTCTCCTCACTTACATCGATGGGAAGAACAAGGGGGCCGAGTCGGAGCTCACAGCCTATGTGGAGCCGCTGGTGATCGTCATGATCCTCATCATCAACGCGGTGGTCGGGGTGTGGCAAGAGAGCAATGCCGAGCGAGCCCTGGAGGCGCTCAAGGAGATGCAGCCCGAGAATGCGAAGGTCTTGCGGGATGGCCAGCTTTTGGGCGATCTCCCGGCGAGGGAGCTGGTTCCAGGGGACGTGGTGGAGCTCAGAGTCGGGGACAAAGTTCCAGCGGACATGCGAATTGCAAGTCTCAAGACGTCGACGTTTCGGATCGAGCAGAGCTCGCTGACTGGCGAGAGCGTTCCAGTGATCAAGGGGCTTCAGGCGGTGGAGTCCGAGGATATAGAGCTCCAGGGGAAGGACTGCATGGTGTTTGCCGGGACGACGGTGGTGAATGGTTCGTGCTTTTGCGTCGTGACTAGCACCGGGATGAACACCGAGATTGGGAAGATCCAGGCACAGATTCAAGAGGCGGCTCTGGAAGAGGACGACACGCCACTCAAGAAGAAGCTGGACGAGTTTGGCGAGCGCCTCACGTTTGTCATCGGGATGATCTGCCTGCTGGTGTGGGTCATCAACTACAAGTACTTCCTTTCGTGGGACGTCGTGGGAGGCTGGCCCCGCAACGTTCGTTTCTCTTTCGAGAAGTGCACGTACTACTTTGAGATCGCGGTGGCCTTGGCCGTGGCTGCCATACCGGAGGGGCTCCCGGCCGTGATCACCACCTCCCTCGCGCTGGGGACTCGCAAGATGGCTCAGAAAAACGCGATTGTTCGAAAGCTTCCCAGCGTCGAGACACTGGGCTGCACCACGGTGATCTGCTCAGACAAGACTGGGACGCTAACCACGAACCAGATGTCCGTTATGGAGTTTGCTGGGAATGGCGGATCCGCCGGAGAGGTGCGAGAGTTTAGTGTGGAAGGGACGACTTATAATCCAGACGATGGAGAGATTCTAGGACTGCCCGTAAGCATGGATAGAAACTTGCAGACTATTGCGCAAATCGCCGCGGTCTGCAATGACGCTGCCATTACGTACAAAGGTGGCCAGTTTCGGGCATCTGGCATGCCGACCGAAGCAGCTCTCAAGGTCAGGCTCTTTTCTCCGGAAGTTTTTGTCGGGACCTGGTGCTTACTGTGCTGATTTGCAGGTTTTAGTGGAGAAGATTGGGCTACCGGACGCGAAGGAATACGTCAAAATCGTCAACCAGCGGCAAAGAACGGACTATACGTCTGACAATGGCGCAGCAGTTAACTTAGGTGAGTTTTTCGTCTTGCTGAGCCGAGATTATTAATTCTAGTGTTTAAATCCTCGTGCAGGGTGTTGCGACTGGTGGTTTCGTAGAGTGAAGCGAGTTGCCGCACTTGAATTCGACCGTTACCGAAAATCTATGAGCGTGATTGTGCAAAACAGCTCCGGTCAAAGCACCTTGCTTGTGAAGGTGAGCGTTTTTTCAAGTCTGCGTTTGTTTCATTCGTATTAACTGGATGCGTTATAGGGTGCTGTGGAGAATGTTTTGGAGAGGTGTTCATTTATGCAGCTTATGGATGGTACCGTGGTGGAACTTGACAATGCATCTCGGGCTGCTATACTTTCCAAGCTTAATACGATGAGCTCGAAAGCACTACGCTGCCTGGGACTAGCATATAAAGACGATTTAGGCGAACTTAGCACGTACGACGGAGAGAGCCACCCGGCCCATAAGAAACTTCTCGACCCTTCAAACTATTCCGCCATCGAAAGTGATCTGGTTTATTGCGGGATGGTTGGTTTGCGAGTAAGTCTCTTTCTTACGCTTCGCTTATTTCCTCTTTTAAACGTTCTTCCTCTAGGATCCACCACGGGACGAAGTAAAATCCGCTATGGACGATTGCAGGGAGGCTGGTATTCGTGTCATGGTCATTACAGGTGACAACAAAAACACCGCTGAGGCCATCTGCCGAGAAATCGGCGTCTTTTACAACGGTGAAAGCCTGGCGGGGAAGAGTTTCACCGGGAAGGATTTCATGGCATTATCTACTGAACAAAGATGCAAAGTGCTCTCAGGAAGCGGAGGACGGGTGTTTTCTAGAGCTGAACCCAGGCACAAGCAAGAGATAGTTCGGATGCTGAAGGACGCAGGTGAAGTCGTGGCTATGACTGGCGATGGAGTGAACGATGCTCCTGCGTTGAAGCTGGCCGATATTGGCATTGCTATGGGAATAACTGGAACAGAGGTACAAAAAAATCATTATCGGAACGTTCTATGTACTGACTGCAATCCACACAGGTAGCAAAAGAAGCTGCAGACATGGTGTTGGCAGACGATAACTTCAGCACGATTGTATCAGCCGTTGCAGAAGGTCGTTCAATCTACAACAACATGAAAGCTTTTATAAGGTAAAGTTCCTGGTTTGAGACTGTTGAAATGACGAGTGAAGCTGATTCTTTTCATCTGCTACCAGGTACATGATATCTTCCAATATCGGAGAAGTCGCTTCAATCTTCTTGACGGCTGCATTGGGAATGCCCGAAGGCCTGATCCCAGTCCAGCTTTTGTGGGTGAACCTCGTGACAGATGGTCCTCCAGCAACAGCTCTGGGCTTCAATCCACCCGACTTAGACATCATGAAGAAACCTCCACGCAAAAGCAACGACAAGCTCATCAACGCTTGGGTGCTTCTCCGCTACATGGTAAAAAAATCATCTCTCGCGCTTGACTCTATAAAAACTCTTTTGTGTTGTCTCTACAGGTCATTGGACTCTACGTTGGTGTTGCCACCGTCGGCATCTTCGCCCTGTGGTACACCCATGACTCCTTCCTTGGAATCGACTTGTCGAGCGACGGTCACAGCCTGGTCACATTCTCCCAGCTCACGCACTGGGGAGAGTGCCCGACATGGGAAGGCTTCACAGTCGCTCCATTCACGGTAGGCTCGAGGATCTATTCCTTCGACAGCAACCCCTGTGACTACTTCGCGGCGGGTAAAGTCAAGGCGACGACGCTCTCGCTGTCCGTGCTGGTAGCCATCGAGATGTTTAACTCACTCAACGCGCTCTCGGAGGATGGGAGCCTGTTGGTGATGCCTCCATGGCGGAATCCGTGGCTGCTGGTTGCGATGGCAGCGTCGCTGGGCCTCCACTTCATCATTCTTTACGTCCCGCTCCTGGCACAGGTTTTCGGGATCGTGCCACTGAGCTGGAGGGAATGGCTACTGGTTTTGGTGGTGTCCCTCCCGGTGATCCTCATCGATGAAGTTCTCAAGTTTCTGGGCCGGAGGATGGCCGAGTCCGAGAGGACGAGGCGGAAGCTCAAGTTGGCTTGAGCTTGAGCTTCCTTTCGGGTGGCTGGACTGACCACCTCTTGTATACTCACTCCTCTACAGGCTTTGTCGATTGGAGAGAAGAATTCTTTTTTCAGTTTTCCTTCCAGCTTGAATCTATCGCTCTCTCAGGTGTGCTATATATTCACAAGTCTGATAGTTCCATAAGACAGTACCTTTCAGCTCGTATCTCCATCGGCTTCCACGTCCTGTGGGATGAGCTGCTGCTGGTTGAGCTTGAGATCCAGGCGGAGGAAGACGAGGCCATTAATGGTGAGGTTCCAGCGAGGGAAGCTATATCCCCGCTCGACGTACCACCCCGAGAAGAGGTCCGTGAAGGTGACGCAGTTCCCAGGCGCGTTCCCGGCTTGGATCTCCAGCGTCCCAGAGGCCTTGGTGTCGTAGCCTTGGGAGTAGTCCCGCTTCATGGCTATGGTATAGTCGAGCGAGTGGAGCGTCGTTGCCTCAACGTCTGGTGCCGGAGTTTCTGACGATGGATGGAGCGCCAACTTTATGCTGCAGCTGCGCTGGTGGTTGAACGCCGTCCGGATCTGTGCCTCGAGGCTGAAAGTGTAGCGGTCGAGGAAGAACGGCTTGGAGTGGAAGCTCTCGCCAGTGCAAATCACCATCTCCAGCGGGAACTCGAAGTAGACCTGGCAGCTCACCGCGGTCTCCTTGGAGACAAAGGTCTTGGAGCTCCCCCAGAAGTTTTCGAAGATGGCGTTGTTCCGGGGGCGGTATCTGTTGTGGTTGGTCTTCTTCCAGATGATCTCCTGCTGCCTCGGATGCGTCAAGCTCTTGAACTTGAGCGCCTCCATGATCAGTCCCTGGCCAGTGCTGCTTTGCATCTCGGGGCACACCGCCACAACGTCGACGAGGAAGTCTCCAGTCATCCAGGGGAACCGGATCACTCCTCCAATCTGCTCGGCGGCGTGGAGCTTGTCGTCAAGGCTCCGGAAGTTTGCCTCGAGCCACTCGAGAAGGAAGTGGAACACCTCTTCCTCGTACGAGACGGCGAGAGTGTCGCTGTCGAGGACGATCTTCACTCCCTCCATGTTGAGCGCGAAGAACTGGGACTTTTTGGCGGGGATGCTCTGGAACTGCTGCGCGAGGTAGCCGCGGCACTGCTCCACGACCGGGTGGAGGGCCTTGTCCGACTTGAGCGACTCGGGGAGGCCGAGGATAAGGAGGCAGTCGCTTAAGCTGCTGGGGAACTTGTTGAGCACGTCGGCCAGTGGTTTCATGCATGACGAGATTGCGAAGCGGTCGGCGAGAGTGAGGAGGATGATTGTGCTGTCCGCGTCCGGAGGCTCCATCAAGCGTCCCGTGTACATGTACTGGATGAGATGGAGCAGTCCTCGACGCTCTGCGAGGAAAAGAAGAAATAGTTAGTAGACACTAGCTAGCTCGCCATAGCTAACTGATATTACTTTGCTATCGAAGTAGCAAGAACGTCGCTGTCTATTCAAAGAGCTTCTTTTGTTTTCATCTCGAGTTTCTATCCGAGAAAGGATCATTCAGAGAAGAAAAAGAATAATTTTGCAAGGAAAGAAAACCTTAACGACGAGAAGAAATCAAGCTTTCCACCAAGAACACAACGAACAAGTGAAAAGAACGGGGAAATCACGAGCACCACAAGGATGTCTTTTGTTTTCATCTCGAGTTTCTATGCCAAGCGAAAAAGATTTGCAGGGAACGAGAACCTTAAGAAGATCAAGTTTTCCAAGTAAACAAGAAGAAAAAGAAGGAACATTGCGAGCACCAAGGAGAGGAAAGGAAATAAAAAAAGTGAGAGCTGAGTACCTTCTTCCGTGACCTTGACAGTAGCAACCCCAGTGCTGGATTCGCTCATCCCATTGGAGTAGAGCTTCATAAAATAATCCGAGTGCGCAGCTAGCAGCATGGAGCTCACATGTAACTTCTCCACTACTCTGCCGCAGCTCCCTTCCACCATAGCCTGTGAGGAACAAAGCAAGAAAGAGGGCAAAATCGATCCAATCCAACTCCAATCCCGCTTCTTACCTGCGCCTCATCGGTCGGCGATGGCACCACCTCCAGATGAAGAACCCTGTCCGCGAACAATGCATTGTTGTAGGCAAAATCGAAGCGCACCATCATCGCCTCGCGCGATCGCTCGCCCCGCTGCCCCTGCCCTAAAAATCTCCACTGGTTGACGTGGTCACTGGATCTTCTCCACGTGGCAAACCGCTAGTTATTTGAAAAGAAGGGCTCTCGATTGATTTTGAGCTACCTAGAAGATGGAAGCGCCGATCATAGAATAGAAAAAAAAAGAAGGACCGTGATCGCGAATCTCTGCCAGCGCGATCGCATCGGTTGCCCCTTGCTCCGGCTAAGTTGCGCGAGGCTGTTCCAAGCACAAATCCCAATCTTAGAGCAAAGAATTCCAATCATCAATAGGAGCTCACCTCCCAATGTAGATGCATCGATTGTAGCCTGCCAAGAGAGACATGAAAGTCAGACACGAATCGCTCAACAAGAAGAGTGTGTGATCTCGAGAGAACTCACTTGGATCCATGGTCGTGATCACGGACACGCCATTGAAGCTACACGCATTGGGGTTCATCCCATTGAGCTGGAAGTAGGCATTGAACACATACGACGCGTGCGACGCCACGGTATCCGGCTGGTAGCACCGCCCGCCCGGCTGCACGGGCGAGCAATCCACCTGCTGCTGCCCACACACCCAATCCAGATTCGCCTGGAGCGTGTTGAAGTTCCCGTTGGCGGCGGCGATGCAAAACGTCCGGTTGAGCTCGATGACCCCGGGGGAGTTCCCAGCGGCGCCGCCAGCGCCACCACCGGTCCCGCCCCCGGCATAGCCCCCGAATCCCCCGATGGAGTAGAACTTGGATCCGTCGGGGCGGAAGAGGCCCCAGTTGCGGTTGGCGGTGGGTCCTGGCCGTTGATTCTCGTTGAAGAGCTCGAAGATATAGACGTCCGTGATCTGCCCAGGCCGGAATGGCGTGCCCTGCCCCGACATGGCCACCCGGAGGACGTTGTTGTTGTACGTGGCGGCGTTCTGGAGGTTGACGATGCGCGTCTCGCCAGCGCCGCCCATGGAGGGCCACCCGGTCTCCGTGACCACGATGGCGAGGCTGCGGTGGCCCATGGCGGCCAGCGCGTAGAACGCCGCGTCGAGCTGCGCGGAGAGGAGATCGCCGTAGTGGAGGCCTGAGCCTGGGTCCGTGAAGCCGGCGGCGCTGGGCTGGAGCAGCGCGAAGTCGAGCGCGGTGGTGGCAGCGGAGTTGCGGTAGGCGTAGTAGGGGTAGGCGTTGAGCATGAAGAAGGAGCCCGTGTTGGCGATGAAGTCGAGGATGGGGGAGAGCAGCGGCGCGAAGCGGGCGTCGAAGGTGGCGGAGGAGGGCGGGAAGGAGTTTGCGATGACGCCCATGGCGTGCGGCGTGGAGATCTTGATGGAGCGGTCCAGCGCCGCGTTCTGGAGCGCGGTGTAGAGGTTCTGCATGGCGGAGAGGAGGTAGGCGTCGTCGTCGGTGGCGGCGGTGAGGACCTCGGAGCCGGCGGCGATGGCGGTGATGCGGGTGGCGGGGAGGTGGGGGAGGAGATTGGTGGCGACCCAGGCGGTGGCGGAGGACTGGGACTGGGCGATGCCTTGGAGCTCCGTGTTGGGGACGCCCACCATCACGTCGATGTTGGAGTTTGCGAGCGCGGAGAGGGCGTCGGCGTCCGGGGAGAAGAGGCGGACCTTGGAGATGCCTTGCGATTGCATCAATTGGACGGCCTTTTGCGGCGAGGGGAGATTGTCCGCCATGCGCCCGTAGCACACACCGATCGCGGCATCTGCGGAGATCATTCAATCAATCAATCCATCGCACAGCTGCGAGACAACAGGGGATCTCTTGCGGGAATGGAATTGGGCGGAGGTGGGCGATGGAGATCTTAGCCAATTCCACGACCCATTTGCGGAGAGGATGGAGGGGAGGGAGAATGCGAGCGGGATTAGAGCGCGGTACCTGCGGTTTTGCGGCCGAGGAACGCCATAGCCAGAGCTCCGAGGAAGACAACGGGGAGGAGCAGTCTTGGTCTTGGCTTCATCGTACAGCAATCCATCATCCCTCCTCGTCGTTCGAGCCCCGTGTTCCTTCACATTTGATGCCCTGACCGATCGAGGAATGGAAATGGGTTTTTTCTAGATCGGATCGATCAAATCAATGAAGAAGATGCCCGTTGGACCCAATCCAGCAGCTAAGACCCAATCCACGCTCGAAGCGAAGCGAGAGCGATGAGCATTGCGAGGAGGATGACCTCAGATCCGAGACAAGATCAACCATGATCATGCCGGAGGATAGAAGATCTGGAGCCTAGAGTCGCTGGGGCAAGAGCGAACAACAGTCGATTTCTCTGTTGCCTGTGATTTGAAAGAACGTAGCAGAGGGCAGAGGACACTGATTCACTGATGCTGGCCAGCTGTTTGAAGAAATCGTTTGGAGTTGTGATCTTGGCATTTAAGACACATCCATATTTTTTTCTTCTTCTTCTTTCCTTGCTCTCCTTTCTTTCTCTCAAGAGTGTTCTTCCCCTTCCTTTTACTACTGTTTGTTTGTCTCTGTTTGGAAAGCTTTGGTGTCTCCATCACTCCAACATAATCCAAGCATTAGATGACACAAACGTGATTTATTTACACCAAATCGCGACCACTTGTTTACATTTTCTCGAGAATTTTTTTTTCCAGTGGCTCGGCACCACGATGTCGCGGCAGAGATCTAGGCAGTGGCATCCAAAGGTCCTATTTAAACAAAGCCCGTAAGAAGTATTCGTTTGAGCTTGTCGATTTTCAGCCACTTGTCCAATCTGATGCACACAGCTCTCCTGCTTGCTGGTGGCTCGAGCTTGTCATCGATTGATGCTTGGTATTTCATGCAACATAGATTCCATACATTCGAATTGAACATTCTGGGTAGCAAATTTATTTTTCCAGGAATAAACTAGCAAAAGGCATCCAACGTAGAGCTACGCTGGACCAACGAAAATGTTTTCCCTAGAATCATCATCAGCATAAAAAGAACTCTAGATGAACTAGAATAATATGATTGAGTGCAGAAAGAGTAAAAACTCTATTCTGGAAAGGCTAGTGGACGTTGCTTGGGCCTTGCGTGTTCTGTCGAGGCTTGGCTCGCTCAACGAACTATTGCAAACAAGGACATCAGTCAAAAGAAAAAACAAAGAAGAAATGGACTAAACTACAGAAATGTTAGTCCATAGAATTGTGCTAAGCTAAAAATATGCTAGAATTATTATTTATACCAATGCAAATAGTATAGTGCTAAAGCAGGAATAGAGAATACACCATGCTAGCATTAAAATAACATGGAAAAACTCAAGATTGCATATCCAATTCCATGCCAAATAAAAACTACAAGCTTTGATCAAATTGAATTTGATGTTATTAAGAACTTTGAAACCAATATAATTGAATAAACATAATTTGAAACACATACAAAACTTGAATGACCAAATGGTAAAATAATTTGTGACCTTACCTAGAGCACTTCATTCATACTGGTGCCTTCATAAATGATGCACTTGGTGTTTCGAAGTGTCATACTAGAGGGTAAAAGTAGAAATAGGGGATTGTTACTAGCTTGTATCAAGAATCCCTCAATTCTTGCTACATTTCTGACTTTTGCCGAATTCTTGACTTACAGACCACATTCCTGACTCTTAAGACACTTCTCTATTCCTAACTCTTGAGACACTTCTTTATTCCTGACTCTCTGATTTTCTGTACGATTCTTGAGTCTCAAACCACATTCTTAATGATGACATGGCACCTCCTCGACCTCAACTATATTTAGGCCATCTTCGATTCAAGAGTGGTGGAGCTTCATCAACCTATAGTATATATAGATTAGCTTTGTTCCATTTCTCCACAATTTGAATCAACACTAGTCTAAGGTTACTTTTTCGTTTCCACTAGCTTTTCTCTTTGTCTTCTACATTTTCCAGTCTTGATTTTGTTGGGAGTCTTGATAATTTGATTTAGATTGTTTTTTTTTTTTGCTTTTGTTTTAGTTCGTTTTGATTGTTTGATTGCCTTTGCCTTTTTCCCCTTTTTCTTTCTTCTTTGCCGATGGAGTCTCCAAGCCATCCTGATTTCTTTGCCGAAGTCCTTGCAAAAATCCAATTTGAAAATACCAAGTTAAAGGTGACCCTTCTTCATATACAACAGGAGCTTGCTTCACTTTTGGCTCAAGGATCAAGCAAAGTTCCTGAACCGAATGTGAGTTTCCCGGTGAAATTTTCAGGCAAGCATTCAGAGCTTCGTGGATTTCTGAACCAGATGGAGCTGATCTTTGCACTTCAACGTCGGCAGTACCCCACTCCCGAGTCTCAAATCGGCATGATTGGGACGTTGCTCGAAGGTGCAGCTTTGTCATGGTTTTCTCCTCTCCTGGAGAAGAGCATGAAAAGGGTCGTGGTTCCAGAGCTGATGGATCTTCAGTTGTTCAAAGAAGCATGTTTTGGCGAGACGGATCGGGTTCAGGCTGCCACCACAAAGATGAGATGTCTCTCGTAGGGGTCTCGTCCTGCCTCAATCTATACTGCAAAGTTCCAACTCCTTGCCTTGGACACTCAGTGGGATGAGTGGGCTCTGATTGATCAATTTCGTTTCGGCCTCAACAATGGTGTCAACGATTTATTGCTCACCATGGAGGATCCCACAAACCTGTCGAACGCCATCAACAAAGTTGTTCAATGCTACAATCGTCTCTTTGAACGTCGTCAGGAAAGTCACCACGCTGCCATTTTCCTGTCCTAGACTCAGAAATCCCAACTTGAGTCTTCGAGGCATACTTCTGAACCTACTGCTCCGGTCCTGATGGATATTTCTGGTACTCCCCAACTCATAAGAGGGAAGTTGAGTCCTGCTGAGAAGCAATGTCGAGTATCTTATAATCTTTGCCTCTACTATGTTGATCCTAATCACAAAGTAGCTGTGTGTCCCAAAAAGCCTCCCCGATTGCTCGAGTTCACTCTGCCTTAAGATCCATCTCTATTGCAGTTGGGAAACGACCCCATCCAAACTGAGTAGGAGCTGTCTATTTGGGCTCCCCAAATAAAAATCACTTTTCTTTTTTATCAAACTCCTCACCACCTTTTATCAAAGCCACCACCAATTCCCGCAACTTTCGCATCCCATGTCTCCTTTCTTTCACTAGACAATCAGGACTCAAGGCTTTGGCGCTACTGGACTCGAGTGCAACTTCCTGCTTCATGGACACAGACTTTGCTGCCCAACATTATGTTTCTTTTTCTCCTACCATACGGGATCTAAGGGTTGAAGGCATCGGCGGGCATTTTGTGTCTCCATCTTTTGGACTTAGGAAAACATTGCCCGTTCGAGTACACATCGGGTTCACCATTACCGATATCGCCTTCAACATCATCAATAGCAAGTCCTCCTCTATCATGCTCGGCCTTCCTTAGTTCCAATTGCATTAACCTTAGATCTATTGGAAAGAATTACAGCTTGTCTCTCCCACGTCACCATCTCCCACGTTTTCCCCTACTGTTCATCGAGTCCGAATCAAGAAAAGTTCTCTAAACTCAAATTGGGGTTCTGTTCCTAACGCTACAAAGTTTTCACCCTCTTTTTTTCCCTCTCTTCCATCTTACACTAGACAATATCCTCATTTCATCATTTCATTCAGTCGTACGCCTCTTCTTATTTCCACAATCACTATGAAAGAACTCCTTCATGAAGAATCTATTTTCCTTTTTGCTTTGCATGTTTCTCCTATCAGTTTTCTTGAGAAGTATCATAATTTTGGGGATGTATTTGACAAGAAAAAAGCTAGTGTATTGCCTGTTCATCAGCCTTACGACTGTCCCATTGATTTATAGGAAGGAGCGTCACCTCCATGGGGCCTATCTATGGGTTATCCCCGTCCGAGCTTAAGGCCCTCAAAGAGTACATGGATAAGAACTTTGCCTTGGGGTACATTTAGCATTCACAGTCCTCAGCTGGAGCACCTGTCTTCTTTATCAAGAAGAAGGATGGGAGTTTGCAGCTAGTCATCGACTACTGAGATGATTGTTTGGAACCGTTATCCACTGCCTCTAATCTCGGACCTGTTGGAACACCTCGGTGGTGCCCGCTTCTTCACCAAGATTGACCTCCATGGAGCATACAACCTAATCTGGATCCAGCTTGGCGATGAATGGAAGACTGTGTTCCGAACCCGCTATGGCCACTTCGAGTACAATGTCATGCCGTTTGGCTTGACAAATGCTCCAGCAGTTTTCCAACATATGGTGAACGACGTCTTTCGGGAGTTTCTTGATCAAATGGTGATCATCTACCTCGACGACATCCTCATTTACTCAAAAACTAAGGAGGAGCACAATGAACATGTGCGCAAAGTGCTGGCAAAGCTGCGGGAATATGGCCTATATGCGAAGCTTGAGAAATGTTCCTTCAATCAGGAGTTTGTGGAGTTCCTTGAGTACATTGTCACTCCTGAGGGTACCACGATGGATCTTGCCAAAGTCAAGACTATTCTCGAATGGGAGCCTCCACAATCAATGTCGGATGTTCAGGTTTTCCTTGGCTTCGCCAACTTCTACTGCAAATTCATTGATCACTACTCTAATATTGTCCTTCCTTTCACGCATCTCACTCGCAAGGATGTTCCCTTCTCTTGGTCTGCTGCTACCCAGCAGGCCTTCGACACACTCAAGGTGGCCTTCAGTTTTGCTCATGTCTTGATCCACGCTGATCCCTTACAACCTTTCTTCATCAAGGCGGACGCCTTCGACTTTGCCATCGGTGCTATGCTGTCTCAACTCGAAGCAAATCAGGAATTTCATCCAGTTGCTTTCCATTCTCGAAAATTTCAGCCTGCGGAGATCAATTACGAAATCCATGACAAGGAGATCCTTGCTGGATTCCTTTGGAGAGTGGTGTCGTTTCTTTGAGGGGGTGAGCCATCAAACAACGGTCTGGACGGATCACAAAAATCTCAAGTACTTTGCCACTTCCCGAGTTTTGAGCCGTCGTCAAGCAAGATGGGCACAATTCCTAAGTCAGATTGACTTTGTTATCAAGTACAGACCTAGAAAGCTTCAAGGCCTTCTTGATGCTCTTTCAAGGCACTCCTATCTTAGTCTCAGACCTGGTAATCCTGCCTTCGATCAACAGGATCAGGTTATCCTCAGTCCTAATCGGCTTCAAATTATGGCAATTTCCCTAGCCCCTCAAGACTCCTCCTTGATGGATGCGATTAGAAATGATCTTTAATCCAACGACCTCGCTAGCAACATTTTTCCCCATCTTCAGGCTGGACACCCAATGACTCCTGATTGCTAGCAATTTGACGAGTTCAAGTTCTTAGATGGCTTGTTGTACCGTGGGGAGTAGCTTTACATTCCTGAAGGTGATG